CAACGACAGGGAGGACGGCAGCAGATGAAGCAGCAGCAGCAGCAAGTGGAACTGCAGCAACAGCAGCAGCAGCTGCTGCTGCAGCAGCGGCGGGTTGCGCCAGCAGCAACAGCGGCAGCAGCAGCAGGTCGCCTTAGAAAGACAAAAACAGAATTGCAAGACGAAGCAGCAGCAGCAGCAACAGCAACAGCAGCAGCAGCAGCAGCAACAGCAACAGCAGCAGCAGAAGCAGCAACAGAGGCAGCAGCAGCAGCACATGGGCGAGCCGGAGAGCTGCTGCTGCTCCTGGTAGAGCTGCAGCAACAAAGCAGCAGCAGCTGCTGCTGCTGCAGCAGCTGCTGCAGCATCAGAGGCAGAACCAACTACTGAGGCAATTTGTAATGCAGCAGCAGCAGCAGCAGCAGCAGCAGCAGCAGCAGCAGCAAACGAAGCAGAGGCAGCAGAAGCGAGCGAGGAAACAGACACAGCAGCGAATGAAGCAGCAGCAGCAGCAGCAGCAAAAGCCGTAGCAGCAGCAAATCTGGCAGCAACAAGCACTCACAAGTTGAGCATCCTTTGCTGCTACAGAGTCCAAAAAGGCGCTGCTGCAGTCCTGCTGCTGCTGCTGCTGCCGCTGCTGCTGCCGCTGCTGCTGCTGCTGCTGCCACTGCTGCTGCTGCTGCCAGTGTCGCTTCTGTTGCTGCTGAAGCTGGTGTTGCTGCTGCTGAGTTTGTTGCTGCCGCTGGTGTTGCTGCTGCTGCTGCTGCGGCTGCTCTTGCCGCCGCCCCGCTGCTGCTGCTGCTGCTGATACCTGGGCAGCTGTTCTTGCTGCTGCTGCCTTTGCTGCTGCTGCTGCTGCTGCTGCTGCTGCAGCGAAGACACTGGGGGGCCCTGGGGCTGCCTGGCAGCGGCTTTCCCCCCAAGGGCCCTTTGCCTGCAGGACTTTTCCTCCTTATCTCTAAACCCTAAACCCTAAACCCTAAACCCTAAACCCTAAACCGTAAACCCTAAACCCTAGACTTGACGGGCCGCAGCGCCCTCTTGAGCGTGTGTAAATCCCTAAAGCTCAGCAGCGGGGACGAGCCCTCAGCTCTAAACCCTAAACCCTAAACCGTGAACCCTAAACCCTAAACCGTTAACCCTAAACCCTAAACCCTAAACCCTGAACCCTAAACCCTAAACCCTAAACCCTAAACCTAACTGCGGCTCAAGAGACAATCGGGCCTTTGGGGCCCTGCTGCCGACCCTCAGCTGCTGCTGCAGCCCCTGGGGTACTTCTTTGGGCCTGGCACACGAATTCGTCTAAATTAGGGTTTAGGGTTTAGGGTTTAGGGTTTAGGGTTTAGGGTTTAGGATTATTTCTAGTTTGGCAGCCGCTGTGGACTCTGCCGCTTTTCAACTTCTGGCTGAGGGCCCGCTGCGGCCTCCGCAGGACCCAGCGTTAGGGTTTAGGGCTAGGGTTTAGGGTTTAGGGTTTAGGGTTTAGGGTTTTGTAGGCCCTAGGGCCTCTGGTAATGCTGCAAAGGGCCCTTAGGCCCCACGTGGGCCCTTGGGGGCCCCTAGGGGCCCCCAGGAAACTTAGGGGGGCCCCCGGGGCCCCCTGCCTTGTTGGGGCCCCTGGGGGCCCCCCAAGCCAGCAGCTGCAGCTGCTGCACTGCAGCAGCGCGTGTGCACTGCAGCAGCAAGTGCAGCAGCAGCAGCTGCAGCTGCAGCAGCAGAAGCTGCAGCAGCAGATGCTGCAGCAGCGCCGCGGCTTATGTTGTGTCGCAGCTGACGAAGCAGCAGCAACAGGAGTAGGAAGAGCCCGAGCAGCAGCAGCAGCAGCAACAAGTGCAGCAGCAGCAGCAACAAGTGCAGCAGCAGCAGCTGCAACAAGTGCAGCAGCAGCAGCAGCTGTACTAGTATCCCGCCCGTTGCTGCTGCACTCCTTGTTTCGCTGGGGTGGTCTTGCTGCAGTGCCTGTCCCCAGCAGCAGCAGCAGCAGCAGCGGGATCAGCAGCAGCAGCAGCAGCAGCGGCAGCAGCAGCAGCAGCTGTTGGGATGTATGTACACCTCAGCACAGTCGAGGGCTCTCCGCGGAGGTTGCTGCATCTGTGGGCCGTGCTGCTGCTGCTGCTGCTGCTGCAGCAGCAGCAGCAGCAGCAGCAGCTGTAAAGAAAGCGGTAGACGACTGCGCACTGCTGCTGTGGAAAGGAAACAAATGGAGAGGTAAGCAGAGGCCCAGCAGCAGGAAACAGCAGCAGCAGCAGCAGCAGCAGCAGCAGCAGCAGCAGCAGGTCGTGCTGCTGTTGTTGCCGGTGTTTGCTGCATGCTGCAGCATCTGCAGCGTCTACTTATGTCTTGGATGTCTCTGTCTTTGCCGCCGCTGCCCTGCTGCTGCTGCTACGTCTGCTGCTGCTGCTGCCGCTGCTGCTGCTGCTGCTGCTGCTGCTGCTGCTGCTGCTGCCGCTGCTGCTGCTGCTGCTGCTGCTGCTGCAGGGACTTGGGTGCCCAACAAGTGGAGGTGGTACCACAGACACGGCTATTGGGCGACGCGAAAGAAGCAGCTAAAGTTCGACACCTACAGAAGATACAGGCAAGCAGCAGCAGCAGCAGCAGCAGCAGCAGCAGCAGCAGCAGCAGCAGCAGCAGCAGCAGCAGCAGTAGCAGCAGTAGCAGTAGCTGCAGCAGTAGAGACCACGGTTTTGCTGCTGTCGAAGCGTGACGCGTGTCCGCTGCTGCTGCGGCCGTTGCCTCTCCCTGCTGCTGCTGCTGCCGCCTCCAACCCGCAGCAGCAGCAGCAGCAGCAGCAGCAGCAGCAGCAGCAGGTGGCTTTTGCTGCTGCTGCTGCTGCTGCGCGCAGGTACCACGAAGTCAAAGGCATGGGGCAGCCCAAGGCCAAGTGGTGGGCCCCCAATGTTGGAAAAAGTCCCCTCAGGCAATCCACCAAGTTCTGGTAGGGGCCCCCTGCTGCAGCAGCAGCAGCAGCAGCAGCTGCTGCTGCTGCTGCTGCTGCAGCAGCAGCTGCTGCAGGAGCTGCAGCAGCAGCAGCGGCGGGAGAGGGGCGAGTCACGGGAGCTACAGCGTCAGGCAGTCAGTGGTGCAGCAGCAAGAATGGCAGCAGCAGCAGCAGCAGCAGCAGCAGCAGCGCAGGCCTGCAGGGGCCTCCAGGGGGCCCCCGGGGGCCCCCAGGGGGCCCCTCAAGGGGCCCCCTGTCTCTTTTTGAAACATTTAAAAAGGAGACAAAGTTTCGTTTGGTCAACTTTCGAGTAAACCCTGAAACGCTAAACCCTTTTTTAGGGTTTAGGACCCCTCCCCCTAAACCCTCGCAGACCCTCTTTAAGGGTTTCTTCATAAAAATTGACAAGCCAACAGTACCCTAAGGGCCCTGAGGGGCCCCTAAGGGGCCCCTAGGGGGCCCCCTAGGGGGCCCCTAAGGGGCCCCCAAACCCTCCATCCCAAGGGGCCCCTAGGGGCCTCCCAAGGGGCCCTAGGGGCCCCTGGGGGGCCCCCAGCACTTCCCTGGGGCCCCTAGCGAGGGGCCCCCAAAGGCTTCATTTAGTACCCCTGTCTCTCACCCAGTGCCCCCTGTAAGGCCCCACAAGGGGGCCCCCCTGGGGCCCCACAAGGGGGCCCCCTGGGGCCCCACAAGGGGGCCCCTGTGGGGCCCCACAAGGGGGCCCCCTGGGGCCCCCTGGGGCCCCCTGGGGCCCCCCTGGGGTCCCCTGGGGCCCCCCTGGGGTCCCCTGGGGCCCCCCTGGGGCCCCCTGGAGCGCAAGAAAAGGCCCTTGAAAGCCGCTTTGGGGGCCCCCCGGGGGCCCCCCGGGGGGCCCCCCGGGGGGCCCCCCGGGGGGCCCCCCGGGGGCCCCGAGAAAAGGGTACTTACATGATGATTGTACCCTGTTGGTGGATGGAGTTGGCGATGGTTTTGTGGGGCAAAATGAAAGCCCCGTTGACGAAGACTTCGTCTTGCAGGCGAACGTCTTCGCCCACCACTGAGAGGCCCTCCACCCGCACCTGCGGGCCCGCAGCGAAGAAGCCGGGGCAGCTAGCTAGCTAGCTAGCTAGCTAGCTAGCTAGCTGGGTGGCTAGCTGGGTGGTTGGCTGGCTAGCTGGGTGGTTGGCTAGTTTGGTGGTTGGGTAGCTGGGTGGCTAGCTAGCTGGGTGGCTAGCTGGGTGGCTGGCTAGATGGCTAGCTAGCTGGCTAGCTAGCTAGCTAGCTAGCTGGGTGGCTAGCTCAGGGGGTGGGTAGGTAGTTAGCTAGCTGGCTAGCCAACTACCTGGGCAGTTGGGTGGAGAGCTGGGTAGCTAGCTAGCTGGGTAGCTAGCTGGGTAGCTAGCTCGGTAGCTAGCTAGCTAGCTAGCTAGCTCGGTAGCTAGTTAGCTGGGCGGCTAGCTAGTTAGGTAGCTAGCTAGCTAGCTAGCCAGAGAGCTGACTCGACAGGCACACACAGCTACTAGCTAGTTCCTCACCTCCCCAGCTAGCTGCCTGGCTAGCTAGCTGCCTAGCTAGCTAGTTAGCTAGCTAGCTAACTAGCTAGCTAGCTAGCTAGCTAGCTAGCAAGCCACCTACCTACCTCCCTCTCCACCTATTCATCTACCTATCCACCCATCTATCTACCTACCCACCCACCCACCTAGCTAGCTAGCTAGCTAGCTAGCTAGCTAGCTAGGCATCCATCCACGCGCGCAGCGAGCTAGGTAGATGGCCAGCTAGCTAGCTGTCTGGTTAGCTAGCCTGCTAGCTAGCTAGCTAGCTAGCTAGCTAATTGGCTAGCTAGCTAGCTAGTCCCAACTAAAAATGCCTTGGCCACTTCCCAACTTCCCAAAATTCCCAATTTGGACTTCAGGTAAAGAACGAATTCTTGAGTCTGCACTGTCCACCTATCTTCGCTTCTATCTACTCTCTCAACGGGCTAGCTAGCTAGCTAGCTAGCTAGCCAACCAGCTAGCTAGCCAGCTAGCTAGCCAGCTAGCCAGCTAGCTAGCTAGCTAGCCGGCTAGCTAGCTAGCTAGCTTGTTTGAAGTGGCACTATTAATCCAAATAAATCCCGAATTTTAACGCCAGGTAAAATGCAGAATCATACCTGCGTATCTCCCCAACTATCTACTCTCCCAGCGAGCTAGCTAGCTAGCTAGCTAGCAACTTGGCTAGCTAGCTAGCCAAATTGCTAGCTAGCTAGCTAGCCAAGTAGCTAGCTAGCTAGCTAGCCACATCTTCCTACCCTGAGAATGCCAGCCCAAAATGGCACTATTTATCCAACTAAAGTCCCCAACTTTGACTCCCGGAAGAAGTGCAAATTCTTGAGTTTAAGCTATCTCCGCAACTATCTACTCTCTCAGCGAGCTAGCTAGCTAGCCAAGTAGCTAGCTAGCTAGCTAGCCAAATAGAGGAGCTTACCCACTTCCCAACCTGCGAATGCCAGCCTAAAATGGCACTATTTATCCAACTAAAGTCCCCAACTTTGACTCCCGGAAGAAGTGCGCAATTCTTGAGTTTAAGCTATCTCTGCAACTATCTACTCTCTCAGCGAGCTAGCTAGCTAGCTAGCTAGCTCTTTAGCTAGCTAGCCAAATAGAGGAGCTTACCCACTTCCCAACCTGCGAATGCCAGCCCAAAATGGCACTATTTATCCAACTAAAGTCCCCAACTTTGACTCCCGGAAGAAGTGCGCAATTCTTGAGTCTGCAGCCGCGGCCAATTTGGACGTCGGCGGCGACGGTCACGTTGGGGCCCAGCACCGAGTCGGGGCCCACCACGGCGGAGGGGTCCTGCGGGAAAAGGGCACTTGGGGGGCCTTTTGGGGCCCCTTGGGGCCCCTTAAAGAGCTTTAAAGGGCCCCCAAAGGGCCCTTTAAACCATTTAATGAAAAGGGAATTGCGCGGAGAGTGGGGAGGGGGAAAAGCGGGAGAAAAAGAAGAAATATTCGACAAGTTAGAGCGAGTTCAAGGGTTGACGCGAGAGCGGGATACGAGGAAATTGAAAAAGAGTAAAGCGGATTAGAGAGACAAAAGGAGATAAAAGGAGATGAAGGAGAAGTGAAGGGAAATAAAAGGAAATAAAAGAAGAAAGGGGAGAAAAAAAGACACAAAAAGGAGAAAAAACGAGAAAAAATGACAAGAGAAAGCTTCCGAGGGTTTAGGGTTTAGGGTTTAGGGTTTGGGGGCCCCACCACCAACACGTTGCCGATGAACTGGGGGCCCTCAACAAGAGACAGTTCTTGAGACCGCATGCATGCGAGGCCCCGGGGGCCCCCCCAAATACCCTCTTTGGGGGCCCCCGGGTTTCCCACATCCAGGGGCCCCCTCAGGGGCCCCTCAGGGGCCCCCTGAGGGGCCCCTGAGGGGGCCCCCTGAGGGGCCCCTGAGGGGGCCCCCTGAGGGGCCCCTGGGGGGGCCTCTGAGAAGCTCGCCCCATCTGGAGTTTCTCCCTCCAGGAGGCCCTTCAGGGGGCCCCCCTCGGGGGGGGCCCCCAAGGGGCCCCCCCAGAGGGGGCCCCCCTCAAGGGGGCCCCCCTGGGGGCCCCCCTGGGGGCCCCCAGGATCTCTTCTGGCATTTCTGCTGGCCCTTAAGTCCTCGAGGTAAAGAGACATCCCGTGGAGAAAGTCTTTGGGCTGGCCTATGTCCGCCCTAAGCAGCAGCAGCAGCAGCAGCAGCAGCAGCAGCAGCAGCAGCAGTAGCAGCAGCAGCAGCAGCAAAAGGTGGAGGTGGGGGTGGAGGGGGATGAGGGAGAAAAGATGGGAAGGAAAAGAGGAGACAAAAGAAGACAAAAAATGGGACAAAAAAAGAATCAAAGAAGGACAAAAAAACAAAAAGAGACAAAAAAAGACAAAAAAGCCAAATAAAAGACAAATAAAGACAAAAAAAGATAAATAAAGATAAAAGGAGACAAAAGGAGACAAAAGAAGACAAAAGAAGAGACACAAAGAGAAAAAAAGAGACAAAAAGAAAGAAAAAAGAAAAGAAAAAAGAAAAGAAAAAAGAAAAGAAAAAGTACCAGTAGCCTGAAAGGCGGCAGCAGAAGAGAGTGCCTTGTTTGGCGAGTTGGGGAAAAGTTTCTTTTTCAATTGAACAAAAGCTTTTTGGGATTTTTTCGATGCAAGAATTGTTCAAAATGTAAACTCCTGAGGAAAAAAGAAACAAAAAGGGACAAAAAGAGATTAAAAGGACTAAAAAGAATTAAAAAGGAGATTAAAAGAATTAAAAAGGAGATTAAAAGATGCAAAAAGCAGGAAAAAAGGAAAAAAAAGAAATTAAAAACAACAAAAAAGCAGCAAAAACGAAAAGAAGACAGCAAAAGATGTTTAAAAGAGAAAAGAGGAAATTAAAAAGAAAAAAAGATTAAAAGATATTTAAAAGGATTTAAAAAGATTAAAAGGATTTAAAAAGATTAAAAGAGATTTAAAAAGATTGAAAAAGATTAAAGAAGATTAAAAGGATTAAAAAGGAGAAAAAAGGAGATTAAAAGACATTAAAATGAGAAAAAAAGAAAAAAAAACAAGAGATTAAAAAGTGTTTAAAAGATATTCAAAAGATATTTGA